AGGGAGGAGGGGCGGGCCTTTGAGACACCTTCAGAGCTCCTGATTGGAGATTTCTGACCGTGAGGTGGGCGGGAGCAAGGGGTGGGGGTGGCGGGAGAAGGAGCGGGAAGGAGCCTGGAGAGGAGGGGAGTTGGTGACGGCGAGGGGCGGGGTAAGCTAGCTGGGAAAAAAGAGAAGAGAGGGAGGAGGTAGGGAGTAAAAAGTAAGGAAGAATGGAAACTTTGAAAGAGATAAAGGAATAGGAGGGGTTGCAAGGTGACGGGAGTAACCCGAAATAGAAGAAAACATAATCATGTTATTATGCCTGCTGCTACAGAACGTCACGATTTTAAGATAGGAAAGAAAATCTTAGGAAGCAAAGGAGTTTTTGATTCCATGTAGCAACAAATTGTTTCTCTTTTGTGTCAAGGACACCAAAGACCCAATGCTGAATAGAGTCTGAATTTTTTGTTCTTTTCTCTGTGATAAAGGCATAAATCCTTTTACCTTCCTACCAGAACATTTTCTAACATGGCCGACCAGAGTCAAAGGTGCGATCTAAGGCCAAGAAACAGCCCCCACCCAGCCCAAATCCAAGGAACACTCCCTACTCCCAACCCATTAGTCATTAACTCTGCAATTTGTAGACCTAAGCTAAGACCCACTTCTTTTACCAAATCTCAGTTTATACGCCATATGGAAAAAGACATTTTTAGGAGAACAATATTGGCAAAAGTCAATGTTTTAGCCCAGAGTGGTGGTGCACCCCTGTAATCTCAGCAACTCAGAGGCTGGGGCAGGAGAATTGTAAATTCCAGGTCAACCTCAGCAAAATTCTCCAAGCTCTCAACCCTAAGCACCTAGCAAGACCGTCTCAAAACAAAACAAACACCACAGCTCAATGTGTTCCATGAGCCAAAGTTGTACATTTGATGATCTTTTCTGGTACCAGGGATTAAACCCAGCAGCGCTTAAACCTTGAACCACTGCCTCAGCCCTTATTATTTTGAGACAGGATCGAGCTAAATTGCTTAGGGCCTTGCTAAATTGCTGAAGCTGATTTTTAACTTGCCATCCTCTTACCCGGGCCGGGGATTACAATCCGCAGGGGGGGGGGATTTTTTTTTTCTTATCAATAATCAAATGGACAGCTGGGCTCAATGGCACATGCCTGTGATCCCAGTGATTCAAGAGGCAGAGGCAGGAGGATTGCAAATTCCAGGCCAGCCTCAGCAAGAGAAATCATATCTCAAAAAACAAATAGGACTGGGGAAGTGGCTCAGTGATTAAGTGCCCCTGGGTTCAATCCCTGGTACCCCCCCCAAAAAAAAAAGTTTGAAACATAGTTAAATTAGCAACAATAAACCTTGTAAATTCCCTCTTGGAAGTTTCTACTTAATCCTAGGGCATCCTCAGAGGGAGAGAACATAATGTCAAAAGTAAATTTTGCTAACCTGTTGATCATTCTAGCTGCAGAAACATTGAATAAGCACATATCCAAAGGCTTTATATGCCAGATGCTATTCCAGGACCCTGCCTCTGAGAGGCCAGTGGAGGAAGATAGTCTCCAAACTAGTTTCCACAACATTGTACAAAAGTACAATGTGCTGTGGGAAACGAAGTTTGGAGGAAATCTGGAATAGTCAGGGTTTCATCCAGCTGATGTTTATGCTGAGTCTCAAAATGGGAATTGTCACCCCCCCCAAAAAAAAAAGGACAACAAGGGGAGAGGATGCACTGTGGACAATGAAAATGTGGGCAGAGCAATGAATTGTGAAAGGGCTTGGCCTGTTTATGGGTACATGGAAAGAGCAGGGAGGCTAAAAATCAGGATGTCTCTTTGGAAGTGAGGAAGATGAGAGGCTGCAAGGTACCTGGCCCACTAAGCCAAGAACTTTGGAGTCTACCTGGTAGGCAGAGGTAGACAACAGGGAGACAAGCAAGTGGGGCTTTTGTAAGGGAAGTGATAGGCTTGTGGTAGACCAAAAGCAGCTTACATGGTATAACATGTGACAGGGAAATCTGAATACTGCAAATAAATCACCTTTCCAACTTTGTTTAAACAGACTCACCTTTTTTTATTTATTATTATTATTATTATGTTTTTGTCTTGAAAAGTCCTGGTTAAAATGCAAATCTTCCTGGAAAGTTACTACCTTGGGGATTATCAGCCCTTACCTTTGTATTGTTTGTGACAGCCTGCTGAGAGGAAGGCTCTAAAGGAACTTAGGCCCAGGAAGAAGAGAGAGAGAAAGGCCAGAAAGAGGACATATGGAAGCACTTTTGTTTTGAATATACCATGTTGTTCTTGCTGCCCAAAATGAGATGGTAAGCTCTTAAGGCCAGGAAAGATGACCTAAAACATTAAGCCTCCCTTTGCTGTGTCTTACATTTCACATAATGCTGAACAACTGTGTAAATGCAGGGTAAAAACTTACTAAATGCTTTATTGAATGAGAAAGAAATAATGCTGTGTCTCTACAAAGGAGGATTAACTGTCTAATTTTCAGGACCTACTGCACAAGGTTGTTCTAAATCATGTAGTTATATTCCTTAGAAGGGCATATGGAAGTGCTATTTTTAAATTTATGAGTATTGGTGCAATTGAAAGGGAATGGACAGGGCTGGGGACGTGGCTTAAGCGGTAGCACGCTCGCCTGGCATGCGCAGGGCGCTGGGTTCGATCCTCAGCACCACATACAAACAAAGATGTTGTGTCTGCTGAAAACTAAAAAGTAAAATATTAAAATTTAAAAAAAAAGAAAGGGAATGGACAAAGATGAGAGAAAGTTGTGTTTGCCATACAAAGATAAGCTTTTATATTGACCTAAAGGATAGCTGAGTCTTGTTAATATTCAACATATTCTAGTAATAATAGCTCCCAAACTCAAATGATTATCAAAGCCCTTTCAGTCTTCTGAGTTACATCTTCATTTGAAAATCCTGGATCCTTTTGGCTCTTGAGCTATAGCTCACTTTCAACAACCCAGTAGTGTAAACTACTATTTAAGTTCTCCATGAAATATCCTTAGGAGAATTTTGTAGAAAGAATAACTGTTTCTCTTTTTCTCACATGATTAATAATTATATTCCTTTTGACATTTTACAAGCTCACTTTATTTCATTCCAGATCAACTTTCACATATTTATGAGTTATGTAATTTTAATGATTTTTATTTAATTTATGTAATTTTGATGATTTTTATTTAACATTCACATTTTGTGGCACAAAACAACTTAGATACATGTGTGAGGACCAGAACTTACTTTTTTCTTATATTTTCAAACCAATTTAAAAAGATAACTTCCCATGTTGTTTTGTGAAAACACCTTTTACATCAAGAATAACTGCTTGGGGCCAGCAAACACATAAGCATATATGCAATATACCCAAACATTTGCCAAATAGACTTAAATGCATTCTCAACACTCAAATTCAAATATATTTTTCAAGGTTTAACCCATGAACCCACAAATAATCAAGATGTATAATATAGAACACCATACAATTATAGTCATTATCAGA